TACCCAGTTTAGAAACAGTTTCAAAATGCCCATGAATAGAACTAACAACCAAGTTATGGCATATTCACTCAATATTCATACTCACTATTCAGTAATAAAAGGAAAGAAAATATTTACAAATCACATATTTGACAAACAACTTATATCCTGATTATGTAAAGAACTCTTTAGAGATCAGTGACATAAAAGAAGGAGATTGAGGGGGAGGGAAGAATGATACAATGAAATTGACCAAACTATCCCATGTACATATATGAATATATCACAGTGAATTGTACATCTCCTTTTATTTAATAAAAGGAGTTCATTTTTTGTTCTTTGTTTAATTTTCATTATTATGATACATTTTTTTTTGCAGTGCTGGGAATTGAACCCAGGACTTCACACATGCTAAGCAAGCACTCTACCACTGAGCTACATTTCTAGCCCTATTAGGATGTATTCTTGTAATGATAGTTTTGGAAATGCACAGCACATTGGGAACTTGTCAACTTTGTACTTTCAGTGACCTGGTTAGATTATATAGTTGGGGAACCTGCAAAGGCAGTTTCATTGGCTCCTTCTTGGTCTAGTGGGAGACTCGAGAAAGGTCAATCTTTTGGTCTCCTGTGTGGGTGGAAAGACCTGGTTCATTGGAGTGGGAGGGCTGTGGATGTCAGCATCCAGGATATTTATTTACTCTTCAGCATCTTTTCTCCTCACCTGTGCCTATTTCTTGCTTGTCCAGATGTTCTGTTTTACCATTTTAGTTAATAAATCTTCAGTGCTCTTCTCTGGTGGCAGGAACGTCGTGGAATCTAATTGCTTCTGAAACAGACTTCTAGTCAACAATTATTTTAGCCAGTCCTCCTCCCCTTGTTCACTGCCACTTTCATAGGTATCTGGTGCTGCCAGTTGGAGTCCTTCAGGGACTCTTCTATGTAAAATCCGATTGGTTCTTATTTTTTCAATATGCTTAGCTTGTGTTTCAGCTCTCTTTACTTGATCCGTATGTGTAGTAAAGTTCTAGGTCTAATGAACAGATGTTTAAGAATCACCAAAGCAGAGCTCTAGTCATGGCCCCTCAGTCAGTACCTTGACCAAGCTAATTTACAAATGCAAATGGTCCTTGAACAAATGACCTATGTGTTTCCTTAATGAAGGGCTCCCCTATGCAGCTCAAATTTTAAACTATTAATCTTCTAGCCTTTCCCAGAAGGACCTGTGGCCATTTATTTACTAGAGTGGATGTGTATTGTGGGAATGACTGGCTCTGAACTGGCACTAGTTTTAGGAGATCAACTGTTACTGTGACCCACCAATCAGAGCAGAGGCTTATGGAGGTCAAGTCATCAGTGAGGATTGGCTTAGGTCTATCTCATAGTGGGTTCAGGGCATTTACAAACCCACACTGTGGGTATTTCCTCAACCCTAGAATGTATACTTGGAATAGATGTACATAGCAGCTGGCAGAATTCCCACATCCCCTCACCTCACTCCATATTGGCTAAGTAATTTACCATTCGTTTCTTTGCCTGATCAGCTTATATATTTTATTACTATCATTTCTTCTTCTCTTTTGTTTTCCCTGTCTTATGACTCTATCACTTTAAAAAGTTCCTGTGTTGCTTTAGTGAAGTTCCAGGAAGGTGTAAGTATGGACCTAGCATAACGTTGTCTTCAACCTTTATCTGAAAATCTCTATCCTGTATTGCAAGATGATGTTATACTGTCCCATGACTCTGAAGATGATCCATAAGCTAGTGAAATATTAATGCTTACGTGTTAAGCCTGCTTCTCTTTCCTCTAAGCTCTAAATATGCATATAGAGTTTCTTACTCTGCTTTTTCTTTCTAGACATCTAATATACATCTGAGATAATTAATTTTTAGCCTCTCTTTGAAATGCCTATTCTTTTTTGTATTATTTTTAGTTGTAGATGGACAGATAATTTTATTTTGTTTATTTATTTTTATGTGGGGCTGAGGATCGAACCCAGGGCCCTGCACATGCTAGGTAACTGCTCTACCGCTGAGCCACAACCTCAGCCCTTGAAATGCTTGTTCTTATCCAATCTTCCTACAACCAGCTATCAACTGGATAAACACTTGTGCTCTGTGCTAATTACTAGTGTGTTAGCTCTTCTGAAACAACTCAGAATTGAGCCTTTATACAGAATTCTTTATCACCTTGACTAATTTGACTTAAGAATGCCTATGTGTGCTTCCTTTCTCTCTTCAAAAACATTTGTTTTAGGCCTGAAAGTTTGATTTCCCAAATAGAAGATTGCTAATTCTCTCTTCTGCCTATTACCAAGAAGTCACACAGTAAGCATGTTTTGTGCAGGATCCTGGATAAAACTTTGGTAGAGGGACAGCGAGCGTGCCTTTTCATCCCTCAGACCTGACTATGTTGCTGGATTAGAAGCCAGAGATTGCAGCTAGAAATTTAGCTCGGGTGGCTTACCTTTCAGTATTACGAATCTGCTTTTGCCTTCTGGTCTTTCCCAATTAGCCTTTTAATTTTTAATATCATTCTCTGCTACCCTGCTGATCCTACAAGGTAAGACTAAAGTGGGGTAATGGAAAAGGGTTCATGAGCTTCATATCATCATCTTCAGAAAGGAGTTGAGAGATTAGAAATTGTGAAGCCTCCCTTTGTATAATCATCAGTTTTAAATCGGGTCCCTTCCAACACTTAAGTATTTGTGGATCCAGTTGTAAGTTTCTTTTGAATATTTGATAAAGTAGAGATAAACCCAGGAAATGACCCATTTGCTTTTTGTTTTTCTTCTCCCTGTTTTGTACTACTCAGGAGGTTCACCAAGAACGAATTGCATTGGAAAACCAATTGGAACAACTTCGTCCAGTCACTGTGTTGTGACCTCCACGTTTCAAGTGACAGCGGGTGACCTTGTCTGCCAAGATCTTTCTTTTGAATGTTTGAGCCCAAGTACTTGTCATAGATGTCTTAATGTGTCAAAAGGTGTGAGCAGCAGAATATAATCCATATGACCTTTTCTCTTGCACTTGTGTATTTTACTGTGGTGGAAAAAATTCTTCAACTGATTATCACACTTGAAATTGTAATTATTAGTGGAATTTATCTCCCATTCTTAAGTACATTGTCAAGATATTAGATGCTGCTCCTTACCAAAAATCAGTCTTTTAGCAAATAATTTAGAGCATTATTTATTTAAAGAATTTATGATTTGTATAAAACCTTATAACCAAGTACCTTCGGGATGCTTGTTTTATTTTTGTATGTATATCACATGCAGTAGGTTGGTTTCCTGAATAATTGGGATTCTAAGTGGATAGTCTTTGGCATGATGATAATAAAAACAAAAACTAAGATAAAACAAAAGCATCAGATTTAGACTGGCGCTATGCCCTCCACCACTATATGCCAAAATTGCTTGTCTAGTGCCATTTTGATGTTATATCTAGCTATAAATAATACATGACTATTGTTCTCTATTGAATGTCAAAGACTTATTGAGTCTTTACACCTCTGTGAAGTGGAGATTTTGGCAATGAGCTATTTAACTTGGCCAATCTGGGCCGTCAACTCACATAACTCAGTTCTTTCATGTAAATTCTGGGCAAGAGCAATCTACTTTAACTGCCTCGCCCTATCAAATTAAATATATAGTTGCCAAATCTCTACTTTTATCCTGCATGGGACAGCATATCTGTAAATGCATGAGTTTGGAAACCACCCATCAAGTATGAAAAGCCAGATTGATAAACCTTTGTTGTTTGAACCCAGGTATCCAGACCGGGGAGGAAAGGAAAAAGGTTACCAATAACCCAACAATCTCTGGTAGTTATTTTTGTCTTTATTTTAACCTGGATCATCAAAGTAGTGGACATGAAGAAGTAATGAAAGAAAGTAGTCCTCACACTGGCTATATAACTATTTGGTTCTTTGTAAAATATACCCTTGGAAAGTAATTGGTTTATATCCAGTTCAGAGGAGCTCACCCGACTCCAGGGTAGGTGGTATGTGTGAATAACAAGTTCAAATTGCAGGAGCCAGTATGCTACAGAAAGTTAGGTAGCTGCTGGTTCTCCTGAAAGACCAAGTTGAAAGTGGGGATTGACCAACCCCTCAGGTCACAGACCCTCACAGGGCTTGCCAATTTCACCATCACTTTGAGAGACTTCTATAACAAGACATAATGTCTCTTGTGCATTTTGCTAATTTACTCATTCTTTGGATAGTGGGATAGGGTGTTCCTGGGGTCCTATTTGAAATGGCTTTGGATAGGTTTGCAATATTGGGATTATTAAGCCATTGATTTCAACATAGCTGAGAGCTTTTAGCAAAAGTAGGCATTTATCTAATATTTCCTTGTTCCACTGGCAAGCTTTATCAGTAGCTTATCAGCAGAAGAGAAAGGCTCAAACAGATGATGTTTTTTCCAAAGAAAAACAAAGTGTTGAATCTATTCCATGCATATTTAAGGATTTTGAAGTGATTGGATTTTGAAAGTCCTGAAACTTGAATTATTTCTCTATATCCTTTTTTTTTTCTCATTTGGCTGCCTTTTTTTTTCTTCTGGGGAAGGGTTGGAAGTGAGTTTAAACCCTTCCTAAGATTATGAATGGGTCAGTGCAAATTTTTAGGTAACTTGTTTCCCCATGTGCTGAGACCTGGAGGCTGCAACAAATTTTATCAACAATGTTCTTATTGCACGTGTTTCACAGCACGTTTGGCTTTATAGTACATTCAATCCAGGAAAGACTAGCATATGCACTTTATCTCATAATCTTCCAGTACATGTGCAGTCACTTGGGATAGCACTTCATATCCACCAACCAGACATATAAACCAAGGAATGTTAGTTTATGCTATGCATTTTAAAATATTGACATGCTGTTTTCCCCCCATGACAAATGACAAAGTGAGCCAGATTAGGAGGTTGGGGTTTTGTTTAGTTGGCTTGGTTTTCATAAAGGAAAAATCTTGCATTGGACAATCAAAGCCTTCCAAGTTTCTCTAGTATATATAAAATGTGTGTGTGCTGGGGATCAAACCCAGAGCCTCATGCATACTAGGCATGTGCTCTACCACTGAGCCACATCCCCAGCCCATCATCAATATTTTAAGATAGGCATTTCATCAAAGCACACACCAATAATGTCTGTACCCTGTCTTCTTAGCTGGACTTAATTTTGGCCACAATTTATTAGTGCTTAGAAGTGGTTTTTTAAAAAGATTAAGTATTTTTGCGTGTATATATACACAGACACACACGTACTACTATTATCACCTAACTAGTGCTTATCCTTTATTTCTATGTTTTTTTTTAGGATACACACTTTTAATTTAGGGTTATGATTCCTGTTAATGTTTCTGTGAGCTTTATGTGATTTTCAGCAAGTCTGGCTTATTGATACCTCTTGTAAACAACTGCTCCCAAATTAGGCTAGCTTATTGGGCAGAATTCTACAGACAGAAGGTTAATGTTGCCCCCATTTATGGGGATTTAATTACCTTGTTGTTCAGCAGTCTTCCCCATTGGGATTCTCCAGTCTCACAGATGAAAGCACAGTAGAAGCTGGAAGTGGGCTTATTGGGTCCCTCAGCACATCTTGTATGTGGCATATTGCTTTTGCCACCTCTCTACTTGGCAGACCTAAAGCAAAACCAAATGAACCAAGTGGTAACTATCTGGCACAGGTGTGTATATTGAAATCAAGGCAAATATTTGCCTTAGTAACTTCTTTACAAATATTATATAAGTGCTTGGGTCTAATTGCAAGAGGAGTCAGTTTAGGTGGAAGCTGTGCCCATCTGCATGTCACTGGAGAATACAATGTCAGATCTGGGCAGGACTGGTGCTCATCTCCTGTGGTTTGCATGTAAGGAAATCAGAGTCCTACAAACCAGCAGTTCCTGGCCCAAGAATTCATAGAAAGGGATAGCTAGTGGTAGAGTTGAGATGCCAGCCTAATTTTATCAATTCCAAGTTAGGTCCTCCTCTGTCAATACTAAAAATAAAGTAGAAGGTTTTTTTTCTATTTACCATGTTGAATTTTATGGACTTAATTAGTCATAAAATATGAAAACATGTTTTCAATCTAGAAATTTCTCTTGGATTAAAAATAAAATCTGAAGGAAAGGAATATCATTGAACTGTTTGCTCTTCTGAACACCTCACCTTTCATGATGCAATAAGTTACTCTGAATTTCTTGGCAGAACTTTGGACAGCTGTTGCTTTGAATGGATTCCATTCCCATATCCCTTCTGGGAGTTTGTTTTTAAAATAGACTACTGTGATTGAAATGAACTCAATATGTACTATGTTATAGTTTTCTTCAATATATCTTTGGTTACTTGGGTCTAAAATGTTCAATTTCAGCATACTTCAGGGTGAGTGATCAAAAACATGGATTTTCCTTTGATTTCTTACCAATGTCTGAACTATCATAAAATGTTTTTCTCTTTAGATGTGATTTGATTCTGCAGTCTGTTTCTAAATAGTTGTCTGTTTCTTAAATGATTTCACAGCCATGGTAATAATAGATATGTACATAGATGATCAATAAGTTAATATCTGGAATTAATGTGTTTTGTGCAATTAAGGCAAGCATTTGCAAATGTCTTCTTCTAAGCAATAGTTGGAAAGATTTCAATTGCAGTATTAACACCTTAGAGCTAAAAGCACTTGTTCCATGCAAACTAGAATTACACCTTCTGACTAGAAATCATCAAGGGAATGTGATTTTAACATTATAAGAATATGAATTTAACATCTCATAGCAACCAGACCCTCCCATATTTTTGGCAAGTAGGCTCATTAGGTTGTGGTTTGAACATAATGAATGCAAACAAAATGAGTTAACACTTAAGAGGTCTTTCTTTCCTCTCTAGTTAAATAAAACACAAGTAACTTTGGTTTCTCTTTCCAACTGGTTTACTCTGTTTCAAGTGTACTCTTTAAAAACACTGATTTCAAAGGATCAGTTGAATTTTATCCTTTAGTTATGGGTGTTTTGTTATGGTTTTTGCATCATGACTCAATGTGGTTCAAGCTCCTAGTGAGAGGTGGGGATTTGGGTTTTCAGAGTCCCCAAGCCTGCCTGTCTTGCTTATTCTTCAGCACAGGCTAAGGGAGGCTGCCCACCAACACAGATAGATCAGTCACCGGTGGTAGTTTGAATTACTCTGTGGGCCATCTGCTTTGCTTGTTTGTGAGGGGAAATGCGTCTAGTTTGTGACCCTCCCAAGAGCAACACAAAGAGCAGCAGACATGGAGGGACAGACTTTAAAAGCAATGCAAGCAGATTCTAAAAGCTGCTGCCCACCCCAGAGCAGTCTTTCAGAGGCTGTTTTGAAAATATTCCCAAAGAAGCCTGTGTGTCAGTTGGGAGCAAGGTGGCATGGGTACATAGTTGCTTTTAGGTTTGCATAGTTATTCCATATGTTTACTAACACACATGATGGTAAAGGAGACTTTTTGAAGAAGTACTGCAGGTTTTCAATTGATAGGGCTTATTCTAATTATGGAAGCCATGCTTTGCTTTCAGTAATTGGGAATGCTTATTTTTCATGTCTTGTGAATTTTCCTATCATTTGAAGCAAATTTCATGGCTAAGGCAGGTTGGAGAAAGTGGGTTCAGAATTCTGAAGACTGCAGGATAGTAGACTTTCAAAGGACTTCAACTGGAATTTAGGAACTACAGTAAGGAAACCTTCAAGTACCAGTTCCATCCTAAAGTACTCTATTGAATAACAGGACTAGATCCTAAAGCCCCTTCCAGGAGCTCTACCCTGGTACTGAATGTAATAACCCCATTGTATGCAGCTTGGATCAACTAAGTTGTGTTATTTTTGTCAACTTGTGACAGTTTCAACTGTACCCTTCTTGGGAACCAGGTTTGCTGTCTTCTTTAGCACTGCCATTCTTTTGTCTTCAGCACAAATAAGATACTTAAGTGAGCCAGAGGCCAAAAGAGCCATTTTAGTCTTCATAGCTATTGGCAAAGAGAGAATGAGCTGATGGTCTATTTTAATCTCGAAAGTAAAAAAAAAAGAAATGTATATTTTTTCACTACAGGTACATTGAACAGTAAAAAGTGTAACAGCAAAGTATATATTTGATGCCTTCTGTCTTTTCATGATAACGTGCTAACAAGTTGTGTTAACATTTTACTCAGCCAGAGTTTCATTCATTTGCTAAGCATTGGGAACATTATGTATACTGACCTTAAATAAATCCTGAGAGTGTCCTATATTTGGATTGTGACTTGTAGACTCAAGCTAACTTGTACTGCCTCTCTTTCACATTTGTTGAAAAATCTGTGAAGAACATAGTAAGACTCTCCAACTTTGGAAAATGTACATGATGTGAAACTGGGGTGCTATGTTAAAAATAAATGTATGATAACTAAGTGGCTTTTATGGAGTCTTGGTGTCAATATTTTGTGGTTTGCATTTGGTCTTATGTGCACTAAATGCAAGTGATGTGAAAAGGAGGTGGTAGTCTTCCCAATGAAATCAATAAGACTTGCTTATTTTCCTCTCCTGATGATCTAAGACAGGTCCTTCAATGCTTGCATACCGTAAACACTTGGCAGTCACAGAATGTCATGGCTAATTCACAGTACATTTTTTAAAAAAAAAATTATAGTTGTAGATGGACAGAATGCCTTTATTTTATTTATTTTTATGTTGTGCTGAGGATTAAACCCAATGCCTCACACATGCTAGGCAAGCACTCTACCACTGAGCTACAGCCACAGTACATTTTAAAGGTCCATTGGACTGAAAACTTGGCTTAATGTGGGGTCAGTTTATTGGCTTTATATTTTCAGTGGTTTTGTTTTGTTCAAGAATCTTTCCATCATGGTATCCTTAGCTGGCGTGGAGGCGACAAGGAAAGATCAAGAAGAATTGATTCAAAATCCTGACCTCATTGTTGCACCCCAGTTGCAGTTTCTTACTTTTAAAATTTGAATAATTTTAGGAGGAACCAGTCTCCTATTGAGTGGATTTCCTGCTCTGTTGCTGCAAACATCCATGGGTTCACTCTATCCCCTGGCCTTCTTTCTGTAGATAGTTACCATGTCCCAACTGTGTAACCAAGCACTGTATGTTAGGAGCTGGTGATGAGACCAAGAAGACAAAACCTCTTTTCTCAAGAAGCCCACACCTCACTGGGGCAGAGACCTACAAATGAGTGGCAGTGCAGAGTGGGATAGTTGCTGTGAGGTTATTAGGATAGGCTAACTGCTGAAATGAACAACCTCAAGGGTTCAGTGAATGTCACTCACGTGACCATCCAGGGTTGATGTTCATAACTGGATCATTTTCCTTGTGATTATTCAGGGACTGAGATTCCCTCCATGTGTGACTTCATTGCCCTCTAGGGATGGGGAATTTTCTCCTAACCAGTGGGTGGTAAAAAGAGAAGAAAGTACTGAAGATACATTTACTCTCCACAGAAGTGACACACATCACTTCTATGCATATTTCACTCCCTGGAACTCGGCCACATAACAATGGTTAACCATAAGGGAGACTAGGAAATGCAGTCTAGCTTTGAGCTTTAGGAACACACAGGAGGGGCATCTAAACCAGCCTGTGGGGATCTGGGAAGGCTTTGTGGAAGAAGAGTCTTTTTTTTTGGGGGGGGGGGTAGCAGTTCATTGAACTCAGGGATGCTTAACCACTGAACCACAGCTCCAGCCCTTTTTTGTTTTATTTTGGCACAGGGTCTCACTAAGTTGCTTAGGGCCTTGCTGAGTTACTGAGGCTGGCTTTGAACTCACAGTCCTCCTGCTTCAGCCTCTTGAACTGCTGCAATTACAGGAGTATGCCACCATACCTGGCTGGAAGAAGAATCTTAAAGAGGGAAAAGCATTAACTAGGAAGAAGAGGGTGTTCCTGGTAGAGAGAGTTGCATGTGCTAAAGCAAGGTGAGGTGAGCATATAGTATATTCTGGGAAATGCAAAGAGATGATACTGTGGATGGGATGGATAGGCATGGAATGTGGAGGAGAGGAGGTGGCAAAGGTTGGACACAAAGCCAGATGGGAAGGTCTCCCAATGAGAAGGCATAAATGACCCTGAGATTAAAGT